GGCAGGGGCAACCTTCGCAAGGGTGACTAGCTGCTGGCAGGCTCGTTCTTCTCCTTTCAGCTGGCTGTGTCCTGGGAAGCCAGCGAGTGGCGTTTTGTCATCTCTCTGACTCCCATGGCTTGCTGGCTGCGTAGTTTACAGGTTTTTCAGTTCATGTTACTGGTTTATTTATCAGCTATGGGAACACGCGCCATTGCCTGCTCTAACATAATATCCGGGTCTCATGGGGACGGAAGTCTGGCATGGTGACCCGTCTTAGTGCCGGAGGTCCTCTTACAAGCAGCTTTCCACCATCCACTCTACCAGCCAGCCACCAGCATGTCCACCTGGTCTTCTTGGGTCATTGAGCATCGGGAAAGGTGACTAAGGCCAGAGAGCCAGACAGATGCCGTGTGGACACTGGGGAAGTTGGATCAAGAAATGAGGAACTTGGAGCCACTGAGAAAGGAGGGGGGTGAGGGAGCTGCCGAGGTTATTGGTAAGAGGAGAAGATCGTTTGGGGGCAGTTGTCCTGTGGGCTGAATGCTGAGAGGAAGATCAGGTGGGGGTGGCGGGGGAGAATTAGCAGACCCGGCTAGTGTGAACAGAGCCACCCAAGTGCCGTGGGTGCCAGTGGGGATGCAGAAGAGGGCTAGGAATGACAGACGACTCCAGCAAGGTGGCCTTCCGCAGGTGGAGGGCTGAGAGCAGGGTGCCCTGTGGCCTAGGTTACAGCCCAGAAGACAGAGTGGGGTGAATGCTCAGAATTGGCGTTTTGGGGGGGACTTGGAGTTGGCTTGCTACGTGTTCCTTGGTGCTTGGTGCTGGTGGATCCAGATGGTGCCATTCAGAGATGTTAGATGCATTTCTAATATTCTCACAGACCCGTGATGGGAACAGACATTCCGAAGGTCAAATATGCCTTTCCTGTTTTAACGACAGCAGTGCTTGAAAGTAGATATTTATTTGTCAGAAAAATATTTAACTGAGAAGTGAAAAGTGGGTTCTCTTAAAACTCATTAAAATCCAGGTCTCTTCTTCTCGCCGCCCCCCCCTCCTCCTCTTCTTCTTCTTTTAAATCTAAACCCTAGAATTAGAATTACAGTCAGTGCATCAGTCCAGATGCTGGGAGCTCAGACAGCCTGGGATTTCTGGTGTGGAACACTGCCTATCCATCAGAATTAAAGCGCCCCTCCCTGTTGTTCTGAGCAGAGTGGAGAGCAGATTCCAACAGGATTGCGGGGCCATACCAGGCAGCCCATCTGACTCGTTGAAAGTGGCTGCTAAAAACCCACTCCCTACCCGAGGGCCTCTTGGAAGTCCTCCCATAACCCCGTGGTCCCCACACCCCTGGGCATGTCAGTGACCGTCTATCTAAATGTGCTCTCAAGCCTGGGTCTGATGCTCTCTCCAGACAGGCAGACGTCTGAGCCCTGCTACAAGAATTCGTTAGTAGGAAGGACCAGGGATAGAAAGATGGAGAAGAATGGAAGCGGGTGAATGATTGTGTCGTGAAGAATACGGAAAGTGCTCGGACTACCTGAATAGCAAAGGGACCTCCTCCCGAAGAAGGAGAGCCAGTCGGGGGAGACATCGTGATCAGGGAGGTGGTGTCCCAGGGCGAGGCTCACCCATTGCACTGCGGGTGTGCTGACCCCCGCGATTTCCCCAAATGTGGGAAACTCGACTGCATACTTTGTGGTCGTGGGGGACTGCGTTCACGCTCTCCCCTGAAGGAAAAAAAGAAGTAGAGCCAGAATGCTCCTTAGAGGACAAGCCTCCAGCTCAAGTACCTTGGATGTGCTGTGCGGAGGGCCAATCCTTAGAGGAGGACATCATGCTCGGTAAAGTGGGGGGTCAGTGGAACAAAAGAGGAAGACCACCCAGGAGACGATTGACATCATAGCTACAAGATGGGGTCAAAGGTAAAGCTTGGGAGGGAGGTGCAGGACAGGGGTGTTCCCTCTGTTGACCATGGGGTCACCGTGTGCTGGACCCAGCCCAACAGCAGCTGATAGCAACAGCATCAAGCAAAGCATAACTACTGCCCACAGTGGTGCTGAGCACCGTCCATTCAAGATGCCTGCCCCGAGTAACTGCCGGGGGCAGCAGCCAGGAGGCCAGACCCTAAGCCAGGCAGGAACAGAACCTCGACAGGCGTGCGATCCGGGCACACCGTGCTTTAGTGCGTCTTCCCGGCAGCTTGCAGCCATGCTGTGTCTCTGTGCCATGCTGTGGTCATTCCCACAGTATCCCAAACGTTCCCACAAAGCCATCACACACACAATGCTCCCCAATAAGGGCTAAATATAACCTTGATATCAGAGGGGTTCACAAAGTTTGAGGAAAAACACAATCACCCTTGGACTCCATTTTCCCCGGGCGGGCTAGAAGTGACCTTTCAACCCCTCTGAGGTCAGACGTCAGCCTGTATTAGCTCACCATTAAAATGTAAATGTTTTCCACTTATATTTGCAGGGAAGTTCAGGAAAATGTTCTTCTTTAAGGGATTAGGGTCTCATTTTTTAAAACCACGTGTACATTAATGTGAAATACCATTTTAGCCAGGAGCTCGACACCAGTTCTAACTCTCATTATCAAACTTGGCTGGCTGGGGTCAGCTGCTGCGGGTGCTGCCCATGCCCTTGGTGGGCCTGCTACATGAGTGGAAGCACTGAATCTCTCAACTTGCTGCCTGACCAGCCTCCGTGTCCCAGCGGGCTTTCCAGTGGCTAATTCTCAGAAGTCTTTCACCAGACCTTTCTTCCTAGCCTGACTCTTGCAGCCCCATTGAAGCCAGTGGGCCAACTCACCAGCCTCCAGTGACAAACGGGCCGTGGCTCCACGTGGACCGTGCTGGCTGAGAATCCAACATGGGCCTCTCCGGTGTTCTTGTTCAGTGCTGCCCTGCTACATCCGTTTCCTCTCATAGTGACCTTGAGCTCAACAGAATGAAACACTGCCCAGCCCTGGACCAGTTCCAATGATGCCAGCAGCCACTGTGTGAATCCATCTTCTCAAAGTCTTCTTCTTCTTCCATGCCCCTCTACCAAACATTACGTCTTTCCCCAGGGACTGGCCTCTCCTGACAGCTTGTCCAAAGTAGGTAAGACAAGGTCCCGCCACCCTGGCCTCTAAGGAGCACTCTGGCTGTAGTTCTTCTAAGACAGATTGATTCGTCCTTTTGGCAGCCCTTGATGCTTTCGATACTCAACACTGTGCTCCAGCTGCATCTTCCCTTCTTCGCTCTTACTCAATCAATGCCCATGTTCACATGCACTGGAGGCCATGCAAAATGCCATGGACGGGGTCAGGTGCACCTCAGTCCTCGAAGTCACCTCCCAGATTTTCAGTACACTACAGAGGTCTTGTGCATCAGAGTTACCCAATGTAACTCATAGTTTGCTCTCTTGACTGTTGATTCCATGACCATAATTGTGCACCTAAGTGAGATTAATTTCTTGATAACTTCAATCTTGTCTCCGTGAAGGTGAGACGCTACCACTGGCTACCCCTAGCCTGTAAGCAGAAGTGAGCGCGCCCTAAGCTGGTGTGTGTCAGTCAGTAAGTCAGTCTGTGTCGACAGGCCGCTCTGAGCATCGTCCTTCTCATCCTGATCCCCTGCTCTTTCATTCCAATTAGAAGAAAGACTCAAGTGGCCATGTTAATTAGGAGAAACTCCCAAGTTGTCCCAGTGTGTGTGTGTGTGTGTGTGCATGTGTGTTGGGGAGGGGGGCTGTCCAGACATATTTTTCCCCAGGGCACCTTCTCAGCCTGAGCAGTCGGTTATGGGGTTCAAACCAGCTGCCACCAGCGCCCCAGCCTGCTCACTAGTGTGTGGTGACTGTGCCGCCTTCTTTCACGGGGATTCAGTAGAGCAAATGGCAGCTCTGTGATGGACATGGTGAGGTGATGCGGGAGTAGGATGTGCCCGAGTTCCAGGGGACACTTCGGACACCACGTGGTCTGTCACTAAACACTTCCTCCAAGGACAGCGGGTGTCCTGTCTCCTCCCGCTTAGGCCCACTTTCCCTGCCTTCTGAAGGGAAGGCCGGGGGCAGAGGGGCAGCTCTGTCCTGATCGATGGAGCTGCCTCTTCTCGGCAGCCTGGGTAGATTGCCACGTGGTGTTCATAACTGAGTTATGAATATGACTTCCTAATGCAATTTCTTTTCTCTTAGAACAAATTTGAGATTTCAAGGTTGCCCGCTGTAGGGCATCATACGCCAGAGTGACAGAGAATGATTTCGGATGAGCACAGCGGCTTTGAACAGAATCATCCCGTCCTCTTCTTGTAGAAGGACCCGGCCCTTTCCTGGACAGTGCCCACCACAGCAGCATGGGCGCCTGAGGGGCGCCACTGCCTTTGGACACACGCCCCCTCCGGGGACAGGGAGGAGTGGCATGAGACTCCTTGGCCATCTGCGGCAACGCAGGCTTTCCCAGCTGAGGGGCATGTCTCGGTTCAGGAGACCGGAGGTGAAGTCCTGCCAGGGTGCTGGAGGGCACAGGCTTCCTGCCCGCTCTGGGAAGTTCCTGCTTCAGCTTCTTGATCCTCCCTGGGCATCTCCTCTTGGGCATCTCTTTCCCTGTCTGAGCTTGCCGGCATCTCTGGCTGACATTTCCATCTCAAAAGGGCTAGGTTCAGGGCACACCCACATCCATCTGACATCAGGGACAGGACAAAGCACATTCTCTTCCCCCATGGGCTAATGGCATGATTCTATCCACAACATGCTGGTTTCATCCTGTGTTCTAGGTGAGAGCCCAAAGGCAAGGAAGCGTGACTGGGGCTGTGCCAGGTCGCAGTGCTAGTGAGGGATGGACGTGAGCATTCAGCAAAAGCTGTGAAATTCAGCGAAACCGGGAGCTGGGATTTGAGAACTCAACAACACCACAAAAAGAAAAAAGGAACTGCCACCAAGTTGATGCCTAATGGGAGTGACCTCTGGGACAGGGCAGGACTGCCCTGTGGGTTTCTGTGGCTTGCACTGTAAGGGAGTAGGAAGCCCTGTCCAGCTCCCACGTGGGACTTGCTGGGGTGATCCTGCAGTTCTGCATCTTGCACGTTTCCCCGCATCGGACAGGGGGCAGCCCCCTCCCTGCTGTGGCTCAGTTGAGTGGTCTTCATCCTTCCCTGAGAGCTTACATGGCTTCCTGCTCTCCCAAGTGAGGAAGCCTGGTGGTGTCCGCCACCCCAGCTAGGGAGTGGGGCGGGGGGGGGGGGTACCCAGGTCCTGAGGAAAGGACAGAGATTCAAACCCACCAGCTACTCTGAGATGGCAGGCAGAAGGGGCCATCTGTTTTCATGCACAGCAAGCCTCTGACACCCTCCTGTGGGTCTCCAGGTGTCAGGATCTTCTCAAGGGCAGTCGCTTTGGTCTTGCTTTGGGTTTGCCCTTAGCTTCTGTGGACTTGGCTCTGACTCATGGACATGCAGTGTCCAGCAGCCTGGCCCTTCGCGGTCGTCACAGCTCTGGTCAACTGGAGCCCTTTGCTCCGGCCACTGTGGGTGTTGGGTGCCTTCTGACTCCGCAGGCCAGTTTTCTGGCTCTCTGTGAGATAGTCTTTGGTGGCAATCACAGCATGCCCATTGGCTGGTTTGGAGAAGTGGGTCAACAAGCTTTTCTTCCTAGTCTGTCCAAGTCTGGACACTGCCCTGAAACCTGTTCACCATGGGTGACTGTGCTGGTATCTGAAGTCCTGGTAGGATAACTTCTCACAACACAAAAGCCACCACAGCATGACACAGGGACATACGGGCATCGGTGCAAATATGTAGAGCCGTCCTTTTAACAAGGGCCTCGCTTACCACCTGTGAAGATATGTGCAGCGAAGGAGGAGGAAGCGGAGTCCCTGCGGAGTCTCTGCTTACATGGGAGAAGGTGCTTGGGTCTTGGAAACCTCTCGTTCATCGGAGTGATGCGGTTTCAATAATTATGCAATCTCTTCATTAAACTCTGGCAGCAAGTCATTACTTTGGGCGGGGATCAAGTGTAAATGCTCTTCTCATTAGGATAATGGGGTTCGGTAAATGAGCGCTCCATCTTCCTCCATTGAAAGTTAAGTGGATCTTTGGTGAACCATCTCCAGTCAGAGATTCACTTCATCTTCCTCCGTTCATTTCCCCGCAAGGTAAATCCTTCAGACACTTAATCTTTGGCCCTCACAAGATGCAGTGATCATGAAAGTGGACTCCTTACGAGCACTGGGGAGAGTTTAAAGGCAAGTTGGGGGCATGGTGAGTAGGAGTAAGGAAAGCATTTTGTTGGAATTTGCTAGACGGGCTTGACAGATATAATTATCTACGTGTAATGGATCACGGCATGTTCTATATATTTTCAATTAAATTCTTCAAAAATCTGTTGGCAAATTGTCATTCAATGCTTTTTGAGGCCAAACACGACCACTGTGGGGAGAACATTCAGCAGGCCTGGGCCCCAGGGATGCTCAGCACCACATCCTCTGTGATCGAAGGTCCCCTCGGGGTGTCTCAAGGGTCTCTGTGACTGTGCTTTTAAGAGCATTGGTCACATTTCATTGGGATTATATGAGAGGGCACGCAGTAGGTTTTCATCCTGGTCAGGAGTATTCAGCATCCTGGATGACGTCGCCCCACAGAGCTAAGGCGGTGTGGTCATCAAACACCCTGGCGTTTGTTCGTGTTGATCCACAGGAAGCACAGCATGGTCCTGGGCCATCCTCCAATCACATCGAGGTCCATCATTGTAGC